GGGAGCCTGGTTTGTCCTCTTAATTATTACCATATGGTTTTCCACGAGCCAGCAGAAAGCAAGACTTAAAAATTATAGAAGACTCCTTTAATGTTACTTGTGACTACAAAAGCAACAATACTATACAAAGTTCCCCAACAGTAATAGACAGAAGAATGTTAGAAAATAATAAGGAGAGTTCAGGTACAAATTCTTACTTCGCAGTAGCCAAATACATATCAAAGCCACTGTTATAATTCATTCGGAACCAAATTTAGTCCTCTTTGACTACATTAAAGCTATTGGTGATATCGTTGGTCCCAAAAATTTCAGTTTCTTATCGAGAATATCTAATAACCGAGTCTGTATCTATGTCTAAAATTATAATTGTAGATTATCTAATTAAAAATCACCCTACAGTCAAGGTAAATTCCCTGGATTTAGCTCTAAGAAGATTGGTTACACCTGCAAAGCGTATATTAATCTTGAATGTTAGCCCTTCCACCCCGCATGAACTGGTTGAAAAAGCATTAAGAGATTATGGGCTTCAACTAGCTTCTTCCGTTTCTTTTCTAAAGGCTGGTATACCGAGTGATGACTATTCCCATATAAAACGTTTTCGTAGACAGGTTTTCGTTATTCCTCAGTCAGAAAACCCAGACATTCAAGCTTCTGTGATAATTCAGCATGATAACAATTCATTCAGAATCTTCTTATCTTCTGAAAAACTGGAATTCTTCCTCTGCAAATCGACTGGTCATGTAGCAAAAATTGTCCAAATAAAGTTGAAAAGTCTGCAACCGAAGAGGATGTTTCTTTAAATCGAGATAGCCAATTAGCACCTGCTAGGTCTGAACCTTTGTCATCATAATTATTACGCAGAAAATACAACCCAGTACATCTTAAGCTAACTCTAATATACCTCTTTTTGGAATCTAGCAAAGAAGGGAAAAACTTACAGGTACGAAAACAATCAAAAAGAAAACCAAGCACCACTCTAGCAATCCAAAAATACCAGATAATACAATTTCATTAATTTCATTAAGAAACTGTACGATAAATCCCCTGGAATATTTATTCTCCCAATGGATTCTTTTATTGGTTTTCTAAAAAATTCCTTTGGACGTAGTAACCCTATTTTAGAAGCGCAACATTTTTCGAATGATATTAGATCAATATTGGAAGATATGTATACGTTATATCCGCACTTAACGGAACGTTCCTTCAAAAACAGGTTCACTGGGTTATCTAAAAAAATTGAGCGTAGCTTAAACTTTAATAATTCAGATGTAGAAAGTATAACATCGCAATCTCTTAATGATGAGGATTTTCTTTCTTTGTAAATTTTAAGAAATAATATTTATATTTAAAATTCACGGTAATACAATGGAATTGCGACGGGTTCTATGCCCGTCTGGAACGTTTTCAAAAGTTAATAAAATGATGCTCAAGCGAATATCATTTGTTTACAGGAAACTAATTTTAAGGATTCTTATCATCGGCAACTTAAAAGTTACGAAGGTAATCATTTCCTCAGACCTGTATTTAATCGAGCTAGCGGCGGAACATCCATTTTTATTTCAAGTGATATGGGTGATTCTCGCTTAACTGTGATTTTTACAACTTACATTTTTCTAAAATTAAAAATGTTTCAAAACGTATGTTTTACGCGTTTTTGTTTTCTATTTATGCATAGAAATAAGCCTGTAAAGTGGTTCTACTACAGCTACGACACAACGAAAACTGTGACAAAATTTAAAAATTTTAATGCCTCGGTACTGACATTATTTCCACGGTACTGACATATAAATGATTATTTTTTTTTACCAATCCAAAGATTGGTATAAAATTGCAATAAAATTCAATGCAGTATGCATTAGATTGTAGTTATAAGAGGTAAATTTTATATTAAAAAATGAATTTTGATAGAAATTTATATATTTAATTTTAAAAATGAGAATCGGACATGCCACGGTACTGACATTTCGAGTATATTTATATGCAGCTTAAAAAAAATTACGAAGGTTTATGATCTAATTCATAATGTCGGTTGTAAAATACCTCTAAATTTATAATATTATTAACTTTTTATTGAGGAAAACTTATGCTAAACGATAAATAAAACACTGGACATAAAAAATCACAGTTAGGCGAGAATCACCCATATCATTTTCTCTCATTACCTATTAACTACTAATCTAGAAGCTATAGCAGTTGCCGTTTGGTATCCTTCTGAATTAACAATCTGTAGTGTATACATTCCTCCCAATTACAACTTATCTGAAGAAGATCTATTTGACCTAATACATCAGCTTCCTAGTTCATTTATACTTATTGGTGATTTCAATGCTCATAATTCTTTGTGGGGTTCAAAACAAACTTTTGGCAGAGGGAAAGTAATAGAAAATGTATTAAATTGCTCTACCGCATATTTATTGAATACTGGCTCTAGTACATATTTTAACATTTCCTCTGGTACCTTTTCCTCTATTGACTTAAGTTTTTGTGATCCTAAAGCAGCTTCCACACTTTCTTGGCACGTAGTAGATAGTCTATATGATAGCAACCACTTTTCAATAAAAATCTCCAATAATATAAGCCTACTGAGAGTATTACAAAATGGAGACTCACTCATGCCGACTGGGTAATGTTCAATGCATATATTAAATCTCAGTTTTAAAATTTGCAATCTGTGGATGATATAAATGAATTTTTAGAAAACAAGTTCCCTGGTGGAATAATAACTGTTAAATAGCAGTTCGGGAGTGTAAAATATCATTAAATAGATATCGTAGAACTAAAAACGAAGAAGATTTTGTACTTTTAAGAAAATGAGAGCTATGGCTAAAGTTGTCCTCAAACAAAGTAACAAGAATTCATGGAAAAACTATGTCTCCTCTTTAACTGCAGAAACTCATTCAAAGCAGGTCTGGAATAAAATTAGACAAATGAAAGGAAACAACATTTTTCATAGATTTTCAACTTTATCCCATAAAAATTATTTATTTTATGACAGCCAAGATATTCTTATAATATATATTACCAATCCTGATAAAAACCCTGAAACCCCTTTTATTCTCTCACAACTGTATTAACTTACCTTTTTTTCTAGTAGAACTGGAAATGGCTGTCGATTCATGTAAAAATTCAGCAGCACGACCTGATGAGATACCTTTTATATTTATAAAGAAGTTGTCCACAATTTGTCGGATTAAATTATTGGAATTTTATAATAAAATTTGAATTAGCCAAAAGTTTTCTAAGCTGTGGAGCCAGTCTATTATACTTCCAATAAAAAAGAACAACTTATCTCCAATTTGCCCAAAATCATATAGGCCTATCTACCTCACATGCACGATGCAATGACTAAATTGGAGTTCAATAAAGAAAAATAACAGTAGTAACTTTTCATCTTAGATCAAAAAACAGCAAATTTTCTCTTAGGATTTATGACTTTATTATTTTTTATTATAGAATTTTGTAATTAAATAAACTACACTCCGTAAGATACGGGTTGTGACTATTTTACAATAAACATATATTATTTAGAAATAAATACATTATTTTACTCACACTAGGAGCTTTAAAAAGACTTGGATTTTTATCTCCTTGTGTTTTCTTTAATTTTATATCGAATTTATATCCCGTTTTTCAACCCGGAACGAAGCAAATCCTGTTTTCCTGTTTTTTGTTACTCATTGTCAGGTTCTTTATTTCAGCTTATTTTATTCTTTTCACTAAATTTTTCAAAAACACTTTAATTCCCATTGACTTGCATAGAAAATAGACGTCGTTATTTTGCCACCCGCTAACTACAGTAGTTTTTTGGAACTCCATAAAAATTAGGGACGAAAATTTGAAAATTCACCAAGGCCGATTCGCCTCCTTATCTTTAGTCTTCATAGTATATACTACGTGGGCCGTTCTTAACCTCTTTCTTCTTCGAGTCTGGCCTGTAAGGCCTTTTACTTTGTTTCTTTTCAGCTTAGTAGCTAAGACGAAAAGAAATAATTGATTTATTTTAATTAGCACCTAAATATAAATAATTAAATTGTACTATAAGAATTTTAATAGTTTATTATGTAAATATATTATAAATTATATTTTATATAAATAAAAATTTCCTAGGTTTAATCGGTCATTTTTTTTACTTTCAAATGTTTAGCACTACATATGTTTCGGAAATTAATTTTTTTCCATCTTCGGGTGCAGTCAAAAGTTAATTTTTTTATAAAAAAACACAAGAGGATGATTACAACAGTTTAAAAATTTTTAAAATAGCAAAACCCCATCTTTTTCTTTCATCGTGTGAAGGTGTATTCGAAAAAATTGTAACCGTCCCATTGTGTCTTTTTATAAAAAAATTTAACTTTTTACTGCACCCGAAGATGAAAAAAAAATAAATTTCCGAAACATATGCAGTGCTAAACATTTTAAAATAAAAAGAATGACCGATTATCCTAGGACATTTTTATTTATATAAAATTCTACTACGGTCAGGAAATAATCCTTATTCAAATAAATTATATTAAACATTTAAAAAAATAATTTATATCTTATTATAGTTATTATAAGACAAATACAGTTTTTAATAATATATGTTAATATTAACCCGCACAATTTCTAGTAAAATCAAGTTTTTCATTTTTATAGTGTCCATCATGGACATTTTTTGGACATCCATTGGACTTTTGAATGGGTATATCCATTGGAATAACAAACAATGCATGTCGAACGGACATCTATATGAAGTTCATGGACATCCAGGACAAAATATAGTCGTCTGATGGACGTCGCGCATCGTGTGCTGCCTGGGAATGTAGATAGTTCAACATCGCAAGTTCAATTTATCCCGAAATATGTTTCTTCCTGGCCGTTTGATGATGTATAAGTTCCCTATATAAAATTATACTTGAACTTAATTGTTTGTGCGGCTTTCCACAGGATACGTCGTCATTTAAAAGATGCATGTGGTATGTAATAATCGCTTTGTAAAGCGACATATTAGTTTGTAATCTTACTGAAGACTTTCCTGCATGTCCAAGATGTCATCGGATCTCTTACGATTTTTTTGCCGAAGTAGAATACCCATGATAATTTTAGTAGATAATGCACATTATCGAGAATTCCTAGACACAAATAATTTTAGCTACTATCTCTCTAAATTGTGGTCGCGAATTTCGAATCCGCCCAGTGCAACCGATATCTAATTACATCTCAAATATCTCCTTTGTTAATTAAATTTAAATTTAATTACGAAACACAAATATCAAGTAGAATTAAATTTTTGAAGACAGCTTCAAAACCACTTCAAACAGAACATAAGAGCAAAAACAGCAGGGAATCTCAGTGAAAGGGTACAATGTTTACAGCAAAATAAAAAGGAATTTCTGCTAAATCGAAATAGCACATCAAAGGTTTATCGTAAAAACATTTTAATTTTTTTTCATGACATAAAAGGAAAAATAAAGAGTTTGGTGACTTTTAAAAGTAATCTAAAAATTTATAATAATAATTAGGAACTTACAGAAGATTGTTAATTTTCTGTTAACAATGAATCTTATGTAAAAGTTGATAATGCTTTCCTGCAAAAATAGAGTATCTTTTAAATTTGTAAATATTAAAAAATAATACCAATAGAAAATAATAAATATGGAAGCTGTTCGCTAAGAATACGTTTTCTGAAAAAAATTTTTCCGCCAGAGTAATTACATTGCAACCGTTGACTTTGAACTTTATTGATCACGTCAACATAATAAGATTTATTGCACTCTGAAAAATAATCCTTCATTTCTGTGATCTTTTCAAATTTGTAAATTCTCATTATAGTCTAAGATCCGACCGTATGATTTCAGCACTCAATTTTTTACGGATAATTATTGATAGAGAAATACGGTTTTATTGGATTACCTATCAAAATATGGCCACAAAGTACTTTTTTATACTTTAAGGTCTGGAGATGTCTAACTGACAGAGCTAAATGAGGAAAATGCAGATACTCTCACATAACGGGGTAAAGAGTAACGAGATAACAGATAGCCTCGCAAGAAAGGAACTCAAGCGCCCTTTGTGGAACCTAAGTCGTTCTGCGGTATCAGTAGTAACACAATATTAGAAGATATTAAAAAAGTATTGGGCAGTAGAAGAACCGATAGTTGGAACAATCTCTTAGAATTAAGATAGGCTAAGGTAGTTCTGGGTAAATATAACCAAAAAATATCGAAGGCCTGTATGAGCCTGAGCTTAAGGAAGAACAGGCTATGCCTTGTAACAGGGATCCTTACCGGGCATTCCCGATTCAAACTACACCTTAGTAAACTAAGAGTAGTAGAAGACAGTGAGTGCATACTCCATGAGAATTATGACGAAACCTTCATTCGCATTCTGACTGAATATGTAGTACTCCAGAATCCTAGGGCACTATACTTAGGAGCATATCAAATAGACGAGATCGATCTACCTAACTTGAAGCCACTTCAAATTCTACACTTCATTGAGAAGATAGAATTGGAAGAGTTGTTATAGGTATCGATACTATTTTCTCAATGCATTATCAATAGAAGGGGACACAATTGATCTTTTAGGTCGCAGTACATTAATACCCAATGGCCCATATCCAACATAATAAAACATACTTTAAGGAAATATTTCTGTTATTTATAATTATAGAAAAAAAAAATGTTTTTACAAGAGTTGTTTGTGATGTTAATCTCTATTATTTTGGTCAAACACAGGAATTTTCTAAAATGGACCGTAATAGAGAAATTTGAGGAAAAGTACAAAATTTGATTTTTTTTTAGTATTTTCGTTGGCAATGAAGTTATGAAATAATGTTTTAAATAGTTTTTATTTGTAATTTATATTCATTTTGATTAGATGCGCCGTACCTAATATTTTGATAACTTTACAGGAATATTTGCAATTTTCCTCAGATGTCTCCATTAGGGTCCATTTTATAGAAATCATGTGAATTACCAAAATTATAGAGAATAACATCATACACAACTTATGTTTAAAGAAATAAAAGAAATATACTTTAAAGTAGAAAAGGTACTATTTGAAGTACTTGCAGACATATTTTAATAGGCAACCCAGCAAAGTTGTGTTTTTATATTAATAATTATCTATAAAAATAGTATTTTGATTAAAACACAGCAGAGAAATCCTACAGTCGGATCTGACTATTATTGCATCTTATCACCACCGATGTCCAAGAGTGCAAATTAGGACGCTTCTTGCATTTGACCCTCTAACTGCTACTTAGAATCTGGTAGAATGTTTTCACTACAGATATTATCACAACAGCACCAATTTTGTATAGTTTTAAAAATGGTTTAAAAAGATAGCCTGTATCAAGAACAATGAACTAAATCAAAATGAGTTAGGCATACATTGACCTACTTCTATACGCTCACAAAAAATATTTTTTTAAATCTCAGTTTATTGTAAAAGAAACATGTGGACAAACAGAAAACATTGATTAAACTTCAGGAACATGTATTAAATGATTTCGTTCATTTTAACCATAGATATTATTAACTATTGGTTGACAAGCTAATACTCAAACCAATGTAGAGTGATATAGTTAAGGAATTCAGCTAGGTATAGAGCACTGCAAATGGTATCATGCCTCATTCAAGACCATGACGTAATATAAAAAGATAACCTTCTTGAATGGATGCCAGGAAGAAAACTGATAAAGAACTGGAACACAACTTACAGGTAGTAGGTATTCCATTTCAACATACTAATGAGTTGTTAAAAGAGATAAATGAGAATACTGTAATTAGCTCTAATTTGGAATTAGTGGACAACATATTTATAGGAATATCATCCAACAGCAGACAAAACAAACTGTTAAACAGCAAAAAACTGAAGAATGTAAAGGAATCTCAACCGGACCTTGCGGACTTAAATCTTTTAGGGTTATTTGATGCATTTATTTGTAGACCATTGATCATGGATGATACAATATCTAAATAGATAACATGCCGTCGGCAGTGAAGTATTTGTCGGAAATCTATGTAAAACCAAAAATATTACGAACTACAACTAAAAATTATTAATGATGGTAATAGATAGATATTATAGCCAAGCTAATCATCATTGAAATACTGAGTGACAGATGGTTGTAGATAATTTAACATACAAACCTGAAAAATAAAGTCCGATAATAGAACTATATCATCTGTGAAGTTACTGTATAATGTTGGCATCAGTTTCTTTTGTTTACTTGCATATCTAACACTTAACATCTCTGGTATACATATCAAACAATCCAGGATATGTTTGTTTCATCGAACTATGTTTATTATCGGTTACATCAATTAATTACATTCTTTTTAGAATGCAGAGTGAAATAAAATACCAGCCTTTATGTAAATTTATCGAAATTATTATCAGTACGTATTGATGCCTAGTCAATTCAGAAAAGTCGTTAAATTCTGAAAAATAGAACGGTAGAATGATACCTATACATTTTACTGTAATTAAACTACAGTTACTCACATTCATGTGTCGGAAATGCTGGTACGTATTTATATAGAAATCATTAAGTAAATGGATATTTTGATATCCATTCCACTGGTTACTACTTTTAATAAATGTTTGACGTTTTTTTCAAAACCATATAGATCATTCATTTGGTGGAAAAGCATTGTAATCATACGTTTATTCAACAGAATAAAATGTAAACAGAAGCAACTAGCCATTATTAAGAATATAATCAATTTTGAAATGAATTTTATTCGTTTAAATCATCGAGTTAGAATAAAGCAGAGGCGACATAAATACTATTTTATGATATTGAACGCACTAGAAATGAATTCTTGAATCGAAAATGATTTTTTTAAAACTTTTATTTTACTTAAATACAAGAAATTTATATGTGTATGGCTTGAATGCTAACTAGGAACTTGCCCTTTACTGATTTAACTACTTTTATATAAACAAACTATTCTAAAATGCTAACTATGCAAAATCGTCTATTTTATATATTCTCCTATAGTATGGGTGATATAACTCCTCCCCCTGAAGATCCAGGTTCCGAAAGCTAACGAGGAAGATGGACATCTTATAGGTTGAAACTTTCTTCTGTCCCTCTTGGATTTTCTTTAAGTTTTTTCCATCTTCGAAATAGCCAGAAGATAAGGATGAAAACTAATATAATATAAATAATAATAGTCCATGAGCTTGGTACATATGGAATGGTTTTGGATTCGAAATTTGGTTGATTTTGAATTATGTTTTCTCGTAGAGTTTGAAGGTCATCTAGATTGATGGGTTGCAATTTCATATTGGGAGTGGACCATTCTTTTTCGGCAATTTGGTCGTCCATTTTTGGAAATAGAATAGACTGATTCTCAAATGAAATTCACTCAGCATTAACAATGGTTTCTTCCTCAGTTATAATTTAACAATTTGTGGGAATTACTGCTAGGAAGGTTCCAAATAGCTTAATTATTTCTTCTTGAGAATTACATTTAAGGGTTAACGTAATTTCTTTGGGTAGGACCAAAATCCATTGATTCGTTTGTTCTAACCTCGTAAATAAAGGGCGTGATACGGCTATGGATAATTGTGGGCATGTGAAGGTGGTTTCGTAGTTTAGAAGTTGGATCTCGCAAGAGCTGTTCTGATTTACTTTTCTGAGACTGGTTGGGTCACAAATGTAATTTTGGCTAGACATCTTGGTGCAGGAGTTACTCGAATAAGCATAGTATAATTTATTTTGTACAACCTATTTATTTTCCGGGTTAATCGCCTTAAACTGACCTTTTTTAAAAATAGGTATAGGATATAAATTATATAGGGTTAAATCTACAGGTATAGTTATTGGAATATGCAATATATACGTTATTCTATTATTAGAAAGAAAGCAGAATATTTTTATAATCTTTTGCAAATATAATACATTACTTAAGCTTAAGTTAACTGGTATTTCTTTTTTATTATATTCCAAGTTGTGCAAATGATATCGAGTTTTCAATATCTTGCAGTATTGAATTTATCTATTAGCGATATTGCTAATGAATTTTGAGTTTTATTCGAGTCTTTTATTTTTTTGATTTGATTGAAGCTGTTCAATCAGTT